GTTCAGTGTATAAGTTAGTTGAAAAAGTATGACAAGTGAGAAGTTTAAGAAAGTTTTCGTTTGAAAATATTTTGAAGATGATTAAGCAAATTTTAAACCTCCTGTTTTTTAATTGAGTTTTCTTGAAATAAATTTTACTCAATGTAGCACATAGAAATTTCGTACACTCAGCGAAGCGGGTGAGGGCGATCTAGTCTCTCGATAAATCAGTAAATACCGAAGCTAATTTATTCCAAGTTGATGTTTGCAATAATTCTTTAGCACAAAATACGTTTATGATAAAATTTTGGAAAATGGGCGTCGCACCGCCCAATTATGACCACCACATATGTGTATCTTGGTAACCGTCCGAACCATTTGTTCCAAACTCGTAATGATTATTGTGCTTGCCATATAAAAGCAAAATGCTGAAAATTATTGAAATCGGACTAAAATTACGCCTAATATGTTTAAATTGGTTATATTTTGTTTGTTTTAGTTTTATAATAATATAATATAATAGTCTTTCTTATTAGTACCTAAAAATATTTTTCAAATTATAAAGATTTCCTTTGAAAACCTTATATTAAAAATGTTCTACATAAGTAAACTGCGCGAGTACTAACGTCTCAAGTAGAGGCCCCCCTACTGGAGGGTTAAGGACGCTAATTTACACAAAATGTATAATAACAACAATCCCTTGAAAAGAAATAACATTATTATGGAATTTTGGAAAATGGGCGTGATACCGCCAACATATAACTATATAAGTTTATCGAAGATGTTTGAAATAGGGATAAAACCCCCACTGCTTACCATGTAGCGGTAGTTTTCTGAAAGGGGTATCTAATGTTCGGTTTGGGTTGCCAGATTTTTTATGCGCGAAATCAGTACATTAGACTTTTTCATGCTAAAAAAATCAGTACTTTTCAGTACATTTTTATTCAAAGCAAAATAATGAATATAAGTAACAGAAAATAATTTAAAACGCCTGAGTTTTTGTTTTTAACAATATTTTGGTATATAAATAAAATATAGTTCATAAAAAATAAAAGTGTTATTCATTCTAACATGAGTGTACACATCACTATACACCGGAGCATATAAATTATTTTATATTTGTGACTTTTTAAATAGCAATAATGAGATCGTTCCCATTTTCTGTGTTTAGATAGTCACAGAAATATATACATTTCATTTTAAAATTACTTTTAATTTGAAGTTCACTTTCAAAAATTGGAATTAGAAGCCGGTTCCTCTCTTTGCGCCAGGAAACTAACTTTATTCTTAAGATCATCTCATACTGTGAAAAAGTACCACTTTTTAAGGAGTTCATCTATATTTCCTTATGGCTTAAATAATTTTTCAACTACGCAAAACCTAAGAAAGACTAAGGGCTGGTTTCTTCAACTCAACTTTACTTAGTTTTGCACAGCTTATTCTTGACTAAGTCAAGAAAATTGGCTTAACTAAGTTAAGTTGAATTGCAGAAACCAGCCCTAAGAATTCGCTAAAAAGAGTATCTAACTCTATGTCTTGTATGCAAAACTCTTTTACAAAGTCAGTAAATTGAGAAAAAGGAGTTGTAAGTTATAGGCAAAAGCCATTCGAATATTGAAATTTATTGTTATTAAACTGAAAGGTATTTTCGATATACCTAACAACACTCGACAAAAATTTAAGCCTTCTTTTTAAATAATTTAAGCTCCATCATATTATCGCAACTGGTATGTAACGATCCGGCGATATGCCCATAAAACGATTGATCTTTTTGTTGTATTAATTTCTTGGGCTTATCAAACATTATCTAAAACATGTCAACTATAATTAAATTATTTTCTTCTTATTTTTTACATTTCAGTTTAAGGAAGTTCCAACGTCATGTAAAAACCTTAAGAAAACACTAAAGTATTTTGTTTGAATAGAAAATTCAGTACAAATCAGTACAAATTTTGAAAAATCAGGACATTAGCGTACTGATTGAAGAAATGAATAAAATCAGTACATGAGTTGAAAAATCAGTACTGTACTGATAAAATCAGTACGTCTGGCAACCGTATGTTCGGTTCCGCCCGAACTTTGGTTTTTCACTTGTTATCTTTCACATTATCATAACAAAGGCTACCGCAAAGGCAAGATTATATAATAAATATAATAGATTGGCGCTTACGTATTTGATAGTGTTTGGCGGAGCTTCTCCGATTTGTGGTGTGTGCCTTGAGGTTGTCACACAAAGCAGAGCGACCTATAGTTTTACGCCGACTTCGAACGACGATTGTATCTTTGTGAGAAGCTGTTTTTTATGGCACCGATACATTCGCAGGTTTAACATTGCCTGCCTAGGAGCGACCGCTTAGAAAGAACTGTTTTATTTTTTTTATGTTGGGTGAACCGTGCTTGAACCCAGGCCCTGCGGAATGGTAGCGCGCACTTCTAACCACTACATAATAGCGCCTTAACTCGCTGAAACAATATATGCCGCTATGGTCACCGTGACCATTCGTACCGATTTTGGCAGTACATTTCCGATTTTGTGAAAATTGTCCCACTGAATATTTTTTAAAAGTCGGGACGTATAAGTGCCCCGATTTTTCATATTTGTACCGATTAAGTCCCGTTTTTCAGTGTTTTCTTTATTAATTTAACAAGAGTCTCCCTCTACTTTGGCCAAAAAACAATTGTTCGTACAAAAGTGGCAGCACTTTCGTTTCCTATGATCTTTGGTTATGTTTTATTCGTTCAAGCCGTTACTCTCGTTATATTGCAGTCTATCATTCTTGTCAAAATTTTTTTAATGTTTTTATAATTATTTTATTAAGTTTTTTTTTTAATGTAACGATTCTAACTTGAATTAAGTGAAATTATAAAAAATAATACTTATTCACTCCAAAAAACCATGGACATGAAAAACATAAACAGGGAACAGACATTTTAGCATTATTTGGTTATTCCCCTTTCCATTATTTAATGCTTGTTATTTCTTATGAAAGTTTGGCTCGTTAGGTAACAAATACCATGTACGTCAAAATTTCAACCTTTGTACAAAAAGTAGCAAAGTTCGACAAAGTATCATCCAAATTTTACAAAAGAAACAGTTCTCGGATTTTGTTAAATTTATCTTTATACAAAAAAATTATTGAGCATACTTGGTACGAAAGAAAATGCGAGAACAAAAAATTGCCAAAAATCAACGGGTACTCCAAGCTACTTCAAACTTACACTTTATTATACTAAAATTTAATGGGCTACTGCGCACTCAAGACAGTTCTAGAAAATCTGATTAAAATGGTTTAAATTTTGATCATAATAGTAAGAACAAAAGTTGTCGCTACACATATGTTAGTGTTTGGCCGAGCTTCTCTTCCGATTTGTGGCGAAGGGACCTACAGTTCTACGCCGACTCCGAACGGCGATAGTATTTTTATGAGAACCCGTTTTTCATGGCAAAAATACACTGGGGGGTTTGCCAATGCCTGCCGAGGGATGACAGTTGTTAAGAAAACGCCTTTTTTCTATATTTTTTGCGAGGTTGCTTCGCTGCTGTTACCACTACACCACAGCGGCCGACATCATTTGTTAAAATTCGTCGATTTTTTTAATGTTCTACAAAGTTTGAAATTTTGAGTTAAATGTTTTTTAGATAGTAACTTATATTTTCATAAAAAATAGTAAACATTTCTTAAACAAAAATATGTGGCCAAACTTGCTAAAATGTATTTTCTCTATTTACACTCTCGCCACTGTATATATTGTGTGTAGACATTTTGCGATCATTTTTCAAGCTTTTTTATCTTTGTTTTGTTTTAAATATAACTGCATTAAAACATGTTATGTCATTTTTTTCTAAAAATAAATTAAATTTTCGGATTGGGTGCTTTGGAAATGTCCCGATCTTTGGCCACCGAAATCTGGTCACCGTATATACACATACACTACACAACAGCGGACGACAACATTTGTTAGAATTCGTCGAATTTTTGTATATGTTCTACAAAGTTTGAAATTTCGACTTACATGTTTTTTAGATAGTAAGTTTTATTTTAATAAAAAATAATAAACATTTCTTAAACAAATAAATGTGGCCAAAACTTGCTAAAATGTCTTTTCCCTATTTACATTCGCGCCACCGTGTATATTGCCTGTATATATTTTTTGGATCATTATCAAGTTTTTTTAACTTTTTTTTCGTTTTAAATATAACTGCATTAAAACATGTTATGTCTTTTTATTCTACAAATAAATTGTATGTTCGGATTGGATGCTCTAGAAATGTCCCGATTTTTGGCCACAGAAATCTGGTCACTGTAGCTATGGTAAAATAAGAGCAGAAATACGAATATAATATCAAATTTTGGAGTTGTTTGCATATTTTTATAAAAACGTATATATGTAAGAACAACATGCATTTTTCGATGTTTCGGTTATGCTCTCCACTGTTTACGTGTGTGCATTAGCAACATCAACACTAGTGGTAGAAGGATGTTGAGAAACACAAAACAAATGCCCTCAATAATGTTTTCCCGTTGCTGCTTTGGTGGCAAGTGAGAATGTAACGCATTTGTATTTATTTGTGTTTGAGTATGGGTGCATTTACACCAGGGATGGAATTCCAAAATTTCAAAATGTGCCTAATGGACTGCAAAAATAGTGCCAAAAAGGAGTTGAAAGTGCCACAAAATGGAAATTGCTATCTTTTAAGGCTTTTTAAGAACCACATATGTATTTTTAGAAATAGTATATTTAATGTACTTATTGAATTATTAGAGTAATATCATAGTAAAATAACACAATATTTCAATTACAAAGGGGGAAAACACTTATATAGCTATTCGGACCTGTATATCCATATACATACCTATGTGGGAAATAATAGCAGCGCGACATTTTGACCAGATTTTAATTTTCACTTTTCGAATCTCTGAGTAATATATGATTGTTTTTTATATACTGGCTAAGCTTTTATATGTAATTTATGAACTGAATGAATTGTGCCAAAAGTGCCCTTTTGAATGGAAGTGCCAAAAATGGAACTTATATACTTTTCCATCACTGATTTACACGGAAAAAATATGTAGAAGTGTGCCAACTGAAAACATTTTGTATACGCCGTTGCCATTACTATTGCTATTTCTGTTATTATTGCTGTTATTGCGGCTGCCTGACAGTAATGATTTTGTTTTTATTATCGTTGATTTCTTGTATTGAGTGTATGGTTCAAGTGCACAACAACTGTTGTGGATGTAGCCGCAGATACGCCTGGTTCTCTCAGATTAGGGGTTACGTATACGTAATATTGGTTGCACTCACTATTACCGTATACTGTCCCAGTACCATCGCCGCTGCCGCTGCCAGCAATATTTTGTTCTGTTGTGTTGCTAACTTGTTTAGTAAATGGTTGATCGTTTCATTGTCAACAACAACGTTTCCCAGTAGAAATCCAAGAATGTAGGGAGGAAGCCATATTTTAGCTTTGTTCAAGGGCCTTATGAACCCAGTGCTGTTAGTTTACTGAGTTAAATATTTTAAATAAATAAAAGATCTTTGTTTGCAATTTCAATTTTTCAATTGTGCATTTGATTGTAGCCAAATTTTGATAAGTGCAGTGAGTAATACGGACTACGTACTGAAGATATTTTTAATCATTTTACTCGCATGAATGCGGACATTCAAATGTAAATATAACAAGTGAGGTGATTAATGAATCAGAAACTAAATATTAACATACATAAGTTAACAATGCGTGCGAATTTTTGAGTATACATTGTGTAAAAAATCGTATTTTTTCATATTCAATTTTATTGGAAGTAATTTTGGCTGAGACAAATTATTTGTACTCAAATATGCACGTATTTATGCAAACATAAAATAAATTATTACACCAATTTTCCTTTCAGCTTGTAGGTTTATTCGTTTACGATTATCAAATACCTAAGATGTATGTATGTATGATATATACTTAACTACCATGATATTAAGATTGCATTAGACGCTTGATTTAATTTGAAAACATGATGAGCGCATGCTTATTTTCTTGTATGTATTTCAGGTAATAGCCGCAATTTTGTACAAGGGATGCAATGACATTTTTTTTCATACATATGTACTAGGTATGTTACTTTGTTCGCTTTTTACGATCCCGGGATTTTCGGGATATCGTTATCTCAATCCTGGGATCCCGAGATTTAGATATTCAACAACTTAAATGGAAAAAATTGCTTTAATATTATTTGAGAAGCACTCCTACCATAAAATAAATAATAAATAAATGGATTTGAAACCTGCTTTTTTATTTAAAGTGAAAATTATTTCATAAGTAACTAAGAAAAAGACATTAATTAAATGTATAAGCAATTAATAATACTTAGCGTGTAAAAGTATCTTAAGGTATGTCGAAAAAAGCTCGATGCAAAACATTTTAAGTCAACAAATCTGTGGAGTTTTGATGAAACAACCTCTGTGCTTTCTGTAGGTTGGAATTTAGATTAAATTATAAGGAACTTCCATTTAAAAATTTGATATTTTTATTTAACTTTCATTAAGATAGCATCTTGAACAATTCCTATTAATGACTAAACATAAATTTACAGCTTTGAAGAGAAAATGACCTCACTCGAGAGAAGCTGTTTTGTCAAAAGTCCAAAGAAATGTATTTTGTGGTTGAAAGAATTGTATATATACATTAAAGTGGTCCAAAAATGTATGTAAAAAAAATAAGGTCGGATTTTTAATGCCGCGACCCCCTAGGATTGTTATATACCGAAAAAAAATATACCCATATTCTTTTATTTTGAAATCAAAAAATATTTAGGGAGTGCTCAAAGCGCACAAAGTTTTCCAAGTATTTTATATGGAGAAAAAACAATTTTTCGTAGAAATGGTGTAAAACTCTATAAAATCAATATTTTTCGACCGGAAAACTGTGGTTCTCTTCAGGAGACTTCCAGTATTAAAAACCAATTGTTTATCTAACCATTTTTTATGATTAAAGATTTTTTATTGGTCCCCCCATTGCATTTTCTAAGGGCTTTGGAGGACCTATAAAATATAGTTACCATGAAAAAATTGTTAAAAAAACCATTGAGTATTATTACTGGGAGGCTTCTGAAGATAAGTAAAGTTTTCCGATCGAAAAATATTGATTTTCAAGAGTTTTACACCATTTCTACGAAAAATTGTTTTTTCTCCATATAAAATACATGGAAAACTTTGAGCGCTTTGAGCACTCCCTAAGTATTTATTGATTTCAAAATAAAAAATTGGGGTATATTTTTTTCGATATAGATCAATCCTAGGGTGTGCCGGCATTAAAACTCTGACTTTATTTTTTTGGACCACTCTAATATACATACGCTTTATTTCGACCAGTTTTGTCTATATTCCTTTTGTTTATTTAATGTTTAAAATTTATTTACAAATGTCTACCTCATTATACATATAACACCGTGCGATAGTCATTTTACACACAAATACGAATATGGATCAAATAAAGTAAAACTGCGTTTTTAGTTTTTCTCTCTGAGTTCAGGATTTATTTTAAAAGACTTTGTAGTTTTAAAGATGTTATTTAATCCAAAAATTATTTAAAAAACTTCGGTGCAATGTAGAACAAAAATATTTAAAACTACCAAAGAAAGAGGAAATTTCTTTAGAATTAAAAAAAAATTAAAATTCTTTGAATTCACGAGGACGAATAGGTAATTTTTGAAGGTGATAAAGTTAGAAGGACGAAATTCGAGGATATTATCCTTAATATATAATTTTTTCAAAAATTAATATGGCAAAATTTCGAGGATATTTAAGACTAAATTTTTAAAAGGACATTTACAATACTTACTCGTCTTTATGTACCAAAAAGTTGAATCTGTTTATATTCTAAAAAATTTTCACTTTAGTTTGATACCCATACTTTTTCTCTAAGCACGTTTCACTGAATTTTTTAAATCATTTTTGAATTCCTAACGTCAGAGTGAAAAACTAAAAGCGCAATTTTACTATATTTGGCCCACCGTTTCACGAGTGCATTAAAACTCGCTTAAGTACCTCACGAAAAATGTCAGTTTTTTGAGGTACTTAGGCGGGTTGGGTACTTAAAAGAACCCGCTTAAGTACCCCGATGCGACTTAAGCGAACATAATTACTGATGTAGTTACATCTTCTTGCTGACTTACATAAATACTAAATTAACAAAAATTGTAAATGGTGCACGAAAAATTTAGGTACTTAGGCGGGCTGGGTAAATAAGCGGGGAGGTACTTAAGAGAGGGATTTTCTTCAGATTATATTAAAAAATTCGCGGTGTCCAAAAATGTTGGTTACTTAAGCGGATTAGATATTTAAGCGGGGGGTACTTAAGCGGGTTTCACTGTATATTGATTCTTTGATTTTATACTGAGCTAGACATTTACAAAAAATATTAATTTTTAAATAAAAGAGGAAATGTAGCCAACACTTGTCAAGAAAAATAGTTTCTATTATTGCCACCAGTGCAAATTACAAATCACGAAAATATCGGGATTATTTGCCAAAAATCCCGGTATTTTCGGGACCTAAAAAATATTCCTAATGTGTCTACTTTTTGCAACATTCAACAAGAGTACAATACTTTTCGGGCTTTTAACATGATAGCATTAACTTACTCTCAACCTTTCTCTTTGTATGAAACATTTTTATATATATCGTATAGCTGGCAATCTTAAATTGATTTTTTTAGGAAAGTGTTATACATACATATATATATAAATTAAGATTCAGATACATGCATATTACAAAGGTTCAAAAAAAATTTTTTTTTTTAATTTATAAACGCTACCTCAAATTATTGTTAGTTGTGATAAAAAAGAGAAACCTGTTTTTTTATTTTGAAAAAAAAGTTTTCTTAGAGGTCGCTGTGGTCGGTTTTTTATAAAAACGCTGATGTTCTCAATTTTTTTATTTTCTTGATATGTTAAAATGCAGCTAAAAATGTGGTTTTTACATATAATTACTCTGGTATTATTGGGGAACATTCCCTTAATTACACACCCGACTTGGACAATTACAATGGGCCTAGTTCCCGAAAATATGCCCTCGAAAAGACACTAGTAAAATTAAAACGTTGATACTGAACGATTTACGCATTGTCATGGGTTGGAACTTGTTACCAGGGGGTTTTTGGGGATGCTAATTAGGGATCTGAAGTCAGTGTTTCGAAATTCAAAATGGCGGTCCATTTTTTTAAAAATGATTGGATTTGTTCGAAACACGGCACTCGATAATTTTCGTGGTCGCCGATTACGAATCTGAAGTCAATTTTTTTAATTCAACGCATGAATTTTGAAAATCTGACATCAGATTCGTAATCAGCAACTCCAGAAACCCACTGGAAACGTGTTTTAACCCTCGACAATGTTTAAAACGTTCAGTATCAACGTTTTAATTTTAGTACTTTTTTTTAATTTGATCGGCATATTGGATCCGCCATTTTGAATTTAAAAAAATTTACTTCAGATTCGTAATCGGCGACCCCAAAAACTCTCGAGTACCGAGTTTCGAACAAATCCAATAATTTTTTTTTTTAATGGACTGCCATTTTGGATCCGCCATTTTGAATTTCGAAAAACTGACTTCAGATTCCTAATTAGCAACCCTAGAAACCCCCTGGTAACAAGTTCCAATCCATGACAATGCGTAAATCGTTCAGTATCAACGTTTTAATTTTACTAGTGTCTTTTCGAGAGCATATTTTCGGGAACTAGGCCCATTCTAATTGTCCAAGACAGGTGTGTAATTAAGGGAAAGTTCCCCAATAATACCAGAGTAATTATATGTAACAACCACTTTTTTAGCTGCATTTTAACATATCAAGAAAATGAAAAAATTGAGAACATCAGCGTTTTTATAAAAAACCGACCAGCGCGACCTCTAAGGAAACTTTTTTTCAAAATAAAAAAAATACGTGTCTTTTTTTTATCACAAATAACAATATTCTGATGTAGCGTTTATGAATATCCAAAAAGAGTGTTTTTATGAACCACTCTAAGGCATATACATAAATATATGCACATATGGAAAGTTATTAAATTTATTATATTATGTATATTTTTTTATACATTAATTTTAAATTAAAAATGGAATCCTCCTAATCAATGAAATCGCCTGTCGATGTTTGATAGTCATCTGGCCAATATTTTTCAAAATCTTGTGCCATTTAGCATAAACTATTAGGGTCCTATTTAAGAATTTCCGTAGGCAAGATGTTCTGAATATTTTTTAGTAGTTTTTAGTGATTGACAAATCTCACATTTATTTGATGCAAAAAATGATCCAGTATGGGAATAAAAGTATGAGCAACGAAAAAAGGTTTTTGCGCTTCCGTGGTACTTCTAAAATAAAACCAACCTTATTTGCTTCCTCCTCAGCTAATTCGAAGATATTTGTAAAGTTTTCTTCTGCGTTTCGTCGCATATCATTTAGTTCTGTATTCACATTTTCGGCGTAATCTACACAGCGGCCGAGTTCACACTCCTTATTCTGCAATTGCACAGTGACAGCCTTTGCTAAGGCAAAAATAGTCTTAATAGTGATAAGTTCAACTACAAATTGGGATTGTGTAATTGAAGCCAGTAACATTTGAGGCTTTGATCCATCCCTAGTAATATTTTTATCAACCAGCTCTTCCAATGCGAAGCAAATGTGTTCATAAAGGTAAAAAAAAAACAGACTAAGGGAGTTTAAGTGCTCCACCCAACGTGTTTCGCAAAACTTTAGGAGACGTGTTTGTTTTGCAGTTGGGCAACACTGTATTATCCGATTTTTAACACCTGACTTGCTTTTGTAGACTTAAGGAATAAATTTACTATTTATTTCATCGTGGAAATGCAGTTTTGTATTACGTGATTTTTGGTTAATATTAGCAATGCCTTGTTTTGTATTTTCAACAATGATTTGGTAATATTAACCACAATTTTGATTACATTGACCAAAGTTTTGGGTGGCGATTTTTTCTGCACTTCACAGATGCTTTTTCATAATTCGGGGATACAAAAGCAAAAATTTTTATAATAATTTTAACACGTGGCCTCTGACGGGATTAGCAAATAACAGCAAGCACCTCTACAAACAGCCGCTTTATACATATATTTGTCTTTAAATGTTCGACTTAAGTAAATTTTCTTCGTCGTTAAATTTGGTTCTGCACTTCATCGATGCTTTTTCGTAAAAACCAAAAAACAAAAAAAAAATTATGTGTTGCAGCTGACAGCAAGCACCTCTGCACGTTCAACTACATACAGGCATACGATTGGTTTTCAAATGTTCAACTTGAATCACATTTCTTACAATCGGTAAAATGACCATGAAAAAACCAAACAATAACTCGGTTGAAAAAACCATTGTACTTTTGGCACAGTGTGGGTGTTATTTTGCATACATGAGTTATGGCCAAGTTTAAATTGTGGTTGGCGCAATGG